AAGATTGAAGAACGAGGAGAAGTATTAATTGGAGAAAGAGTTGAAATTACAGAAGTTTCTACCGAGGAAATTGGTTGATGATAATTGGTATCCAAGTTTTTGACATTAATGTCTACAAATAAGTAAATAATAAATAAAATCGTAGATAGGAAATAATTGTGAATGAAAATAATAATTAGTAAATAGTTTCATCCCTAAATAAACTTATTTAAGGTGGCAGTAACAATTATCAATATCATCTAAATATCATTTCGAATATCATTCAAATATCATTCAAATATCATTTCAAATATCATTTCAAATATCATTCAAATAAAAGAGGTCGACTCGATGGTAAGGAGAAGAAAAGGACTCGGAAAACCATACCTATATCGTCAATTGGATCAGTTTTCGTTGAAGTCATTATTTAATATCTTAAAATTACAATAATTAAATATATATATATGTGTATCGATAATTTTTTCTTAAAATATATATATAATCGTTTTTGAACTTAGGTTTTTTTTTTTTCTATTAGGGCTAATATTATGACTAAATGTTTTTAACAAAAGAACGTTTCCTTTTTTTGCGAAATAATGACACCCTTTTTTTTTTTTTTTTTTTTTTTGAATTCACGGAATTCTTTTAGAACATTATATTTATGTAACCAGAACAATTAACCATAAAAAAATAGGAAAAAGAATTTTTTTTACAATTTAAATTGGGAGCGACAATTATATCGTAAAAAGAAAGAAAGAATAACTGCTGGTTATTGTTTTAGGGACATTTTTGAAACAATTTTATTAGCTGAAACCAAACGGTTTGGTTAAAATGGTAATAGTAATGTAACAAATGATTAATCATATTTGTTACGTATAAATTATTATAATTAGTCAACAAATTGGTTTAGTAACAGATAATAAAAATAAAAGAATAAAAAGAATGTAAATAAAGTAAATGAAATGAATATTAGGTTTGTGTGACATAATGTCGTCCTACAGAATCCTACAAAATGACTTTATTCGTTGCAAATACGCGTGGTAAATAAGCGAGCAAATTGCATGTCGGTTAGTTACATTTGAAATGTACTAGCACATTACTTTTTTGACAGGTTCTTATATATTTCTAATTATGTCACGTGAATGTTATGCATACTGTAATACTTAAGATCATCCCTTCGCAAATACCCGCAATAACATTCTCTGTATCTGCTGTATTTGTCTCTGTACTTGCTTCTGTACTTGCTTCTGTACTTGCAACTGCCTCTGTAATTCTGTGTAATTCTCTGTAATTCTCTGTAATTGTGATTTGTTGTAAACCGATAAATTAAACAATTCCAATTTTCGGCACCTTTTTCGATACTTTTTTTCAGCACCTATGTGGTAATAACCAACCAACCAACGAATTATCTAAATTATCTAAATTAACTAAATTAACTAAATTATCTAAATTTAAATTATCTAAATTATCTAAATTATACTAATATTAAAACAGGATGGTTTTTTTTTCAAGGAAAAAAAAAATTTCCGAGAAAATAATACGTATACCAGGTGACCATACGTAACATTACGTAGGTCAACCAAGTTCGATCAATGATAACTGATAATGCTGGTTTTGTTTGATGTGCTGCATAGATTTAAGGGTATACTTGAAGCGACAGTTGCAAAATTTTATTGGTTCCCAAGGTTTAATAATCAATCTAAATCATAAAAATCCAAATCTTTTAACACAAAAGAGAGAAAATTTTCAAAGCCTCAGAATAGTGATAATTATGATGATTATTCCGACTGACGTAATGGACGGCCTTTACCACATAATATGAAATAAATCACCCGAACAATCATAAATCACATGTCCTATATGGCATTATATGCATAAACCCAAATAACGTAATTATGACTTCATGACCCTTTTTAGCATTAATTTTAGAAATTTATGATTCACTTGAAGGGGTCAGCTTTTTAATTAAACATGCTATATAGCATTAAAAAAATGCTTTTTTTAAAGTAATATTACCATATATTATATGAACCTTTTCAAATTTTGTAGAAACTAGCTTAAATACTGTAATAATATATAATAAATAACTATAATATCCACATTGTTTGGGGTTAAGGTGCCGAGGCACTTCATGGGGCATAATCCGCGTGGCCTCCTGACCAAACAAATACTTAGATTTTTGCTTGTAATCAATAAACGCATAAATAGTGATCTCTTCAAATGTTTTCGGTTTTTTTTAAACCATTTTTATTTAATTCTATTTAATTCTATTTAATTCTATAGAATATTAGTTATAATCATTTTTCCTACGTACTGTTGTTTAACATTTTTCCTACTGTTGGTTAACATTTTTCCTACTGCTAGTTAAACATTTTATTTTAAATTTATTGGATCTATTTTATACAATAAACAGACAACCCTTTAAAACAATTAAAACATCGTTGCTTATTGGATAATAAAAAACAAACATTCACTATATCGATATACTCAAAATGTTTTTAGGTGGTAGTCTTGTAAATTTAGAATTATTTACAGCTCATCCTTTTACCGTATTTTTGATGATAGGAGTTCTCATAACCGGTAGTCGAATTAACCCAACAATACAGTTCGTTGTTCGAGCTTTAATAAGTTTAATAATGATAATCGTATTTTCGGTTTATGGTATCACTACTGCAATAATTTTATCAATAATCGGTAAACGTGGTTTGATAAATTGGGCGACTGCTAGATCTTTTGCCTATGTAGCCGGTAGCGTTGTTGGAATATCATATAAAGTTGAAGGTGAAGAACATATGCTAACTGGACAACCAGCAATCTATGTTTGTAATCATCAATCAATGGCTGATATGTTTGTATTGGGAAGAATTTTTCCAAAGGATTGCGTGATTGTTGGAAAAGCAGAATTAAAATTTGTTCCATTCTTAAATATTTATAGTAAGCCGTTATTTTATTATTTTTCTTTTTTAAAAATTCTTTTTTTTTTATCGAGAATATCGAATTCATGCATATTTATATTTCAGATGTAGTAATAATCTACTTTATTAATAAATAGTGATCCTTGGCAATTCCATATTTCTTGATCGGAAAAATCGTGATAGTTCAGTACAAGTTTTAATAAAAGCTGCGGATGATGTTAAAGAACGCAAGGTAATTGTTTAAAAAATATATATATGTATATTTATATTCATTTGTTAAAAAAAAAATTATTTACTATTTAACAGATGAGCGTTTTTATATTTCCGGAGGGCACAAGATCTCGTCTCAAAGAAGCCGAACTTCTTCCGTTCAAAAAGGGTGCTTTCTATATGGCTGCACAAGCCGGGATTCCTATAATTCCAATAGTAGTTGCTAATTATAGCGATATCTATAATTCAAGTCGAAGAATATTTCGTGGTGGTGAACTTCATATGAAGGGTAAGTTTTAATTATTTAATTAATTTTATTTATTTATTTTATTTTTATTTATTTTATTTATTTTATTTTATTTTTATTTATTTATTTTATCTATTTTATTTTTATTTATTTTATTTTTATTTATTTTATTTATTTGAACCTTAAAATATGCAATTTTTTCTTATTATATTTATAGTACTACCGCCTATTGACACAACAAATGTAGACATTGATGATAAAGAACAAATAAATGCATTGACAGAAAAAACTCGGGAAATAATGCTAAAAACTCTACGCGAGATTACTCCAAAACATAAAGTTCGACCATTAAATAATAAAACTAGTAATGGTAACGCAATATTAGATAATCAAAAAAACTAGTTAATAAACAATATGAATGGAATATGTATGTGGTTGTCACATTGTATAGTTATTTATTTTATTTTGTTTCATTAATATTTAATTTTTTTTATTTCTGGAATAAAATAATGGAAAATTATTTTTTACTACACAGACGTGAGCAAGAGTAAATCTGTTTAATGTGCCATATATGGGAACATAAGGTTTTAGGATTAGGGGTTAGAGTGTGGGTTTATATAAAATAAATTCTACCATAAAAATTAACCATAAAATTAACCATAAAATTAACCATAAAATTATTATTTTATTAAGAAATTCCAAATTCCGTTCCCACTTACAACATCGACATATACACGGGCGCGGGTTACATCTCATTTTCCTCTCTATCACGCGAGGCGACAATTTACTTAAAATGCTAAATTGTCTCCCTGTGTGATTTCGGGTTAAATAACCTGTTTGGGAATGAGCGGCTTCCTGTACGTACGACACGTATATGATGATGGCATAGCCACCAAGATCATTTACCAATACGGGGATTAAAGTTTTTATACATGTGATTTAATAGATTCATCAGTTATACGTTATCGTTATCATTATCGTTATAGCAGTTGTAGATCTTCTAATATTTGTAAAAATAGTATCCAATCATTTTATGCTACATATTATATAATTTATTTAATAATAATTCATTCGAAATCGTTTAAACGAAGGATATAGATGAAGTGTGATGAACGGCATATAGATTTTGTGAAACATAATATAATTATATAATTTATATAATTATACGTATAATTTATATAATTTATATAATTGATAAAAACATCAATACAATTACATCTAATATTGTAAATTCTATTATGAGAAAAATTGCAATAAACAAGATTGTTTATTTACTGACACAATTATCATTAGTTCATTATATGACTGAACGCGAAAAAAGAATATAAAAAGGATTTTATAATTAAATCTTATTTAAAAAAATACTCTTATTATACTGTATATAGTTTCATGTTATTGTATCATTTAAATAATCATGAATTACGATGTTGAGTAACACTAGAAAAGCTTATATGATAGTAAATAAATCTTTTACGATACTATATTCAATAATGGAAAAGAAGGGCGGTAAACCTTAAAAGTTAAATATAAATATAAATATATATTATATATATATATAGATATATCGATATATTTATTGATTCCAGAATTGATTTACAAATAAGGAAAATAATGTACAATAGAACAAAGTGTTGATGGATGAATATGTTAACGAATATTAAAAGTCAATTACAACCGATTCTTATTACACTAAACTATCTCTAATCAAGAAAAAATACATAGATTGAATCATTGAATCTACAAAGCGAAATATGT